AGCTTGTAGAATGATTAAACATAGATTTCGTGCTTCACTAAAAAAGGTAAATATGAGCGTGAAGGATATTTATAGTTTTAAAAACATTTCTTGAAAGTAACTGAGTTCTGGCCACAAACTCTGACTTTCTAATCCATATATATTTGAAACCCAACGACGTAGACTTTTGATATTTCAAACATTGAATTATGTTAAATCATATTAGTCTAATTTTGAAACATAAAAGGTTTACATAATCAGGTTGCAAATATATAGAGTTTAAAAACAGCTTGAGTTTGTGCAAAAACTTAGTTCCTATATCCTAATTAAGCTTCGTTTGTAAGGCGTGGGTATTTATCCGAATTTATAAAAACTGTAATCAATAAAACAATGCCAAAAATTTTATTATTTTATTAAACATTTTACTAGTATCTACAAACAAAACTTGTAAATGTATTAAAAAATACAGAAGTATAAAATTATGTCTGCAGTTGACATTCACTGTTATTATGCTTGATTTTCCATTACATTTACATGCTGCAGCTGGAAACTTGGATTTTTATTTTATCAGTTGTAAAAACAGCATTATACTGAAAAAATGTTTAAAAAATAATCACCTCCTTAAAACACTGTTATAAAAAAATTATTTGCTAAAACACTGTTAAAGAAATAATCTTCTTTTGAAACACTGTTATAAAAATCATCTCTTCTACAATATTATAAAAAAAATCATCTCCTGAAACACTGCTTAAAAAATAATCTTCTCCTAAAACACTGTTATATAAGATAATCATCTAAAAAAACATTGTTTTAAATGCATATTTTTACTAAAACACTGTTAAAAAATCTTCCTGGCAACACTGTAATAAAAATTAATTATACTTGAGATATTGTTGTAAAGAAAAATCTTCTAGTGAAAAACAGGTATAAAACACTGTAATTTTTTATTTTCTGAAAGTGTTTTTTAAAATTTTCTCCTAAAACACTGTCATATGAAAACCTTTTCATACCTAAATCACTTGTATAAAAATAAACTTCTCTGTCATAAAATCAGAATTTTGCGGAAACCCTATTTTAAAATAGATAGATTAAAATAATGGCAAAGGGTGGAAATTTTTAAGTTTTAAAAAAAATGTATTTCTCTTTTCATTTTTTTTCTTATATTGGAATGATAAAGAGAAAAGCTGCCAGAAACTCCTGGAACAAAAAATGGTAAATTTAAATTTTGAAAAGGTTTTAAGAGAAATTGAAAATTCCTCAGTAAGATTTAAGAAAACATTTTATCTTTCAAAGAAATGATAAAATTAAATCAACAAACGCATCTCAGCAGAAAATGAAACGATAGTGAAATGAAAAGATAGTTTACAGAATTTTAATTCTGCACAGTGCATCACACCTACGCTAGAAAAAAACAGATCTAAAATACAGGTGGCAGGTACAGAATACATATTGCGTAACAGAAAAATACAGGTGGCAAAATTCAGAATACATATTGCGTAACAGAACAAAATACAGGTGGCAGGTACAGAATACATATTGCGTAACAAAACAAAATACAGGTGGCAGGTACAGAATACATATTGCGTAACAGAACAAAATACAGGTGGCAAAATACAGAATACATATTGCGTAACAGAACAAAATACAGGTGGCAAAATACAGAATACATATTGCGTAACAGAACAAAATAAAGAATTGATAAAATACATGTAATACTAAAAAAAGACAGAAACCCGGGAACAGAATTAAGAAGAGAAACCAGAAAAAAGAATTCAGAAAAAAACAGAAAACAGAAAACAGAAAACAGAAAACAGAAAACAGAAAACAGAAAAAAATATAGTACAGAATGAATTATAGAACTGGGAGGTATAGAATCTTCATTTGAAGTGTAGATTTTAAGATTAAAACCGTCTAAAAAATAATATGAGATAAAAAAATGGGTCAAAAACAGTTGGACCACCTAAAAACTTGTAAAATTTGTGTGTACCCACATGTATCCGGCTGCTTTGAAAATTTGCTTAAATTAACTTTTTAAAAAGTAATCGGCAAAATTTTCATTATTTTTTTTCGTGAGAGCTTTGCAACCTCTGGATCATCCTTGTTGTGTTGTGTACTAACTTAATATTGATTATACTGTGTCATTAATTAACTATTTATGTTAAATGACGACCTCATGTAGCCTCTCAATCGTCATGTTTAGTGGAAAAACCTGTTCATATTATACAAGAAATCACACTAGAATCACTTAAAAAATAATTAGAGGTCGTCTTTTCCACGTCATGGTAACCAGAAAACTGTAGAATGGTTGTCGTCTTCCTTCGTTCTGTAAATTCGAAATTTCATGGAAATTTCGCAAAGGAACTACAACTTGTAATGGTTATAAATGATATTATTAGAACAAAAATCAGTTACAATTATTACAAAATCCGGTGTTATTTTAGTAAAGATGCCAACAATCCATTCTGAGGCCGAATTTAAAGAATTTGACCCGCGGTTTAAATTTAAGCCGAGGCTCAAATATGGTTGGTTCCACTTAAATTTGTATTAAATTTTTCAAGATTTAAGCCGGCGCTCAATTAATATTGGTTTTTGTGAGATTTAAGACGTGGCGTAAATTCATTAAATTCGGCCACTGGGTTACCAATTTTATAAAATACTATACTTGAGTTACAGTGCAAATTTCCTTTTTTCTTCAAGGGAAATTGACAGAGATTTAAAAAAGCAAGCATTTTGTATTATATCAGAGTATTATGGTCATCATTGTGATCTAATTTTTTTCTGTATTCTCTGTATCGTAATGTATTCGCTGTACTCTCTGTATTCTTTGTATCCTCTGTCTCCTCTGTAATCTCTGTATCCTCTGTATCTTCTGTATTCTCTGTATTCTCTGTATCCTCTGTATCCTCTGTATTCTATGTACCCTCTGTATTCTCTGTATCCTCTGTATTCTATGTATCCTATGTATCCTCTGTATCCATTTATCCTCTGTATCCATGTATCCTATGTATCCTCTGTGTTCTCTGTATCCTCTGTATCCATATATCCTTTGTATCCATTTATCCCCTGTATCGTCTATATCTAAATATCCCCCTGTATTCTGTATCCTGTAGCTTCTGTATCAAAATATCCCAATTATCTTCTGTATCCATATATCCTTTGTATACTCTGTATCTTCTGTATCCAATATTCACTGTATCCTCTTTATCGTCTGTATTCAATATTCACTGTATCCTCTGTATCGTCTGTATCCAATATCTCCTGTATCCTCTGTATCGTCTGTATCCAATATTCGCTGTATGTATCCTCTGTATCATCTGTATCCAAATATTCACTGTATCCTCTGTATCGTCTGTATCCAAATATTCACTGTATCCTCTGTATAGTCTGTATCTAAATATCTCCTGTATCCTGTATTCCGTACTCCGTTTTCTACCATGAATGAGTTTCTTTTAATTACTTAAAAACAAATAGATCTTGTTTCAACTTCCTTCATATCTTAGTTCTTTTACAGTCAGTATGATGAGAACAGAAAATATAAGATCAAAAGAGTGTGTGAACTAAGCATGAAGCAGGGCGTATAGAAACGTTTGTAACGGGGGGGTTTCCTTTTCCGTAGGATGGGGAGACTCAGTTCACAAAGCCAACCCCCCCCCCTCTGTATTTGCCTCCGGCAGCTTTTAGCTGTATTTTCCAAAACTTTGTTTTTAAGATTTAATTCATGCAAGTCTGAATCTGAAATCATTAGAGTTTAATTAAAATTTAAAATCAACCTTTGATTAATCTCTGGAAGAAAACTGAAAACAAACCTTTGATTAATCTCTTGAAGAAATCTGAAAACAAACCTTTGATTAATCTCTTGAAGAAATCTGAAAACAAACCTTTGATTAATCTCTTGAAGAAAACTGAAAACAAACCTTTGATTAATCTCTTGAATTAATTATGGGCATGGAGGGTCGCAAAGACCCGCGACAATTCTAAACCAATTATTGCTTGAAAAAAAGAGATATAAGTGCCTTCTGACTCCTGTAGGGACCGGCGGGGGTTATTCATATATAAAAACGATCCCTATAATTTTTCTTGCCTTTTTACAAAAAAAAAGGTTTATTATTTGATGCTTTGTACCATGGAAATTATACATAATATATGTTTAACAATGCTTCTCGTAAGGCTGTGTTGGTAAAATTGAGGTGGTGATTGATGCACTATGAAGGTTGTCATAAGCGAGGTCATCTGGGACAAAGACGACCTCTCTTGTTGTCTCTGTTTAATGCTAGTTCTTTGAACAATATTACTACACGTTCCAAAGATAAAAAATAGTAAAAGAAAAGATAAAGATACTCTCAGTTATGCTTTTATCTCTAGAATAAGTGATTCACTGCACTGTACGGATTTATTTATGCCAGTTCCATTAAATTCAAGGAAACATGCAACTGTTGACTTGATTTGTTCTTTGCCATAAAATTCAATTTTAAATAAACCATTGAAATATAATTGTTAAAGCAGAAATTAACCTTGAAAAAATTACACATACAGAGTTTTAGTTCCTCTTTACAGTCTAGGTAACTTTATATTTGACTTGTTTGTTTACTTGTTTGGGTGGGTGTTTGTTTGTTTCATTAAAATCGAGTAAGCGGCTCAGTAACTCTTACCTTTCTCGGGCTAAACTGAATGATCTGGTTCAATTTTTAGTAGAACCTCAAATGAAAATGACTTGGTTTTGTCATTAAATTCCCTTTGAGGGGTCCATTTTTGAATTTTGTGAAACATGTTTTTTTAAACATGCGTCAATGTCAATTAGAAATTATTAATTTTAAATTTAAATTTCAAATTGTCAATTAAAATTATCAATTTTTAATTTTGATTTTAAATTATTAATTTTAAAAGTAAATTTAAAAAATCACGTATTGGAGAGCAACATTTAGATTGAATTTTAAAAAGAGAGAAGGCGATCATTCTTCCTAAAAGCCAAGTATATTCAGTATATACGTATGTTTTTATATTTACCCCTGTAAACTGGGGTCAGAAAGTACAAAAGTCATATTTCACATTGATCGTGTACACAATTCAAGCATCAAGAAGAGTTAGGTTTTTACATACTTCAATAAAAAGGTGGATAAAAAAGTTACATTTATCGTAAAATAATATTATAATATAGACCATGGTACGTGTACTTGAGTGAAGTGACATCTTAATATGTATTTTTATTCACATAAAAAAGAATTCTTTAAGAATTATTCAACTTTTTAAATAATTTTTTTTTGATATTTTCTTTCAAAAAAGTTGCATCGATTTTCAAGACTTTACTTGGCCTTTGATTTACCCTAACTAATTCTCACTATCTCACTAGAAGTTAAAAGTATTTGGCAAAATTCTCAATGATATTTGCGTGAGAGCAATCGCAAGCTTTTAATTTAAGATTGTTAAAACTAAAATATCTAGCTGATCATCAAAGTCTCTTCCTGCGTACGTGGGTAACCATGTGTAAAAAATAAATCCCTAGCAGGAGTGTCCGGTGTTGCCCAGGTTTATACTATTATTCAGAGTCAGTTCTAAAATTTTCAACAAAAAAAATAGCCTTTTTCACACCCCACCCACCCCATGGGTGTTCCCTAAAATGTCAGCTGATTTGGCCCAGTCTTTTTTTCACCTATTTCCAAATATTTAAAGTTTTAATTATAACTATTTATAACCAGGGAAGAAGAATAACACTATTATTTTGGACGCTGTTATCGAGAAGGTTCAAGCGTTTTTAGATTACATTTAGCCCAGAGCTTCATAATCTAAGATACAGATAGATACAGAGAAAATTGAAGTTTAAAATCTTCATAATACGTCGTGTCCAAGCAATTGTTATAAATTATTTTTGAAATGTTAGGGTGCTTGCTTCATGTAAAGGTTATTTCTACAGATATTAGATTTAACAAATTTCAGGAAGTATTCTACATTTTTTGGAGAAAATCCGGGAACCATTGAAACTTTATAGCACAGCTTATATAAAATTATAGCATAATAATCACTTAATATATAGGTCTATAATACAATTTAACAATAAATAATTATGAGTAATAAATTACACTAAAGTTTTACAAAATATTCTGGTATTTTCAGATGAATGTCCGTGGAGGACAGAAAATATTTTTGGCCTTCTGTGCGTTTGCCGCCATCTTTTCCGTAATGGAGCTTTACCGATTTAATCAAGGAAATAATCAGTTTTTAAACATTTAAAAAAATTTGACATTTTTCACAAGCACAAAGGTGGGAGCGGCGCATCTTATTAGTTAAAAAAAAAAGAAAAACAGAGGGATAAAATGTCTGAGAAAAATTTAAAATTTTTGAGTATCATGAGTAGCTAAAACTATCTGATTACGAATTATAAAATAAAAATGTGGTTTGACATATAAAGGATTAAAGAATCGACAAAAATGACACAGTTCACAATTGCGATTAATTCTAAATGTCTTCCATACCTGAGAGACATTTCTCTACTATTAATTCTTGGATCCATGTTTAAAAAGAACTTCTTTAACAATTACCCAAGAGCTGAACGTTAAAATTGACTAAATACAATTTTATGCAGGATTAAAAATTTTCTGAATTGTACACTTGATAAAATATTAGGATTAGATACAAACATGTGATATCACATTTTTGCTTTTGTTTCACGATTTTTATAACAATGAGATTGTTCCATTTTGTTTTGGAAATATGAAAAAGATAATTGCACAGAAAAGAACAAAAATAAAAATTACAATTTAGTTGTATTTTTAAACTACTTTAAACTGTGATAACTAAAAACTGACAAATCCTATGAACAGGCTCAAACAACTTTTCTGGGTTTTCATCAGCAGTTACTCAAGTATGTATCCAAATCTTTTTTTAATATTCTTTTCCCTCACTTTATATAACATAAAGAATTTTTTAAAAATTCTTAATTATTAAAATATTTTCTATTTTTCTAAATTTTTTCGCTCATGCATGCAGTGGCAATAAAAAAGTAATTAGGTTTATTTGGTTTGTTTTCAATTCCTTTTTGGAGCTGAAAGCGCGCATTTTCCTGTTTTTTAGAAGCATATTTGGAGCTGTTAGCACAATCCTAACTTTAGGAAGCAGATTTGGAGCTCATAGCACATTGCTATTTTTAGGAAGCAGATTTGAGTAAAGCAGCATTATTAATAGACAGACTCGAGAGTCTCACCAATAGGAATCCATTAAAACAAACAAAAAATCGTTTTTAATCTTTTGCAGCTGATATTTTTACAATAGTTTTAGCTTTTTTAGTAATTTAATATAATTATTCATGAACTCTAAACTTGGGTTAACTACGAAGCGAGTTGCAATGTTGATCCTAATTAATAAAACATGCATAGGATATTAACTATCCCAGCTACACAAAACATTGGATTTCCATCCTGAAAAAACCTCTGATTAATTAAATTAGAATTTGCCATTTTGTGTTTTACTTAAATTTTTTTATCTTTCTATGGGGGGCTCAGCACCCATCGGGGCCTGAAAACACCCTGAAATCAATAGATTTCATTGGTCCAGGGGGGGCTTAGCCCCCATAGCCCCCCTCCCCTGAATACGCCACTGATTCGAGTGTTCAAAGTGTTTTGACGCATTTTGATTTGTTTTGGAAAAGATTAAGTTTCCGTGAATCTGTGAAAAATGCAGAGGGATATCCAGATCTGTTCCAGCTCGGCCCTAGGATCAAATCTCAAATAGAATTACGAATATGGGTGAGTAGAGATAATTTCATTTCTCTAAACCAAGAAAGAGTTCCTCTCACAACGCTATACGAGCTCTACATTTTAAACTACATATCACTCTCTTACATTTATAGAAGCCCATCCCCTCTAAATCTTATTTATTCTAAAATATTCTGATATAACCCCCCCCCCCAAAAAAAAATAAAAGCTTAAAGATATTGCAATTTGACTTCAAATTAGACTCTGATTGGTCAAAACTCAAAACAGAAATTTTACTAAGTTCACAATTACAACAACTTTTACATCCTTTTGTCTAATGTCTAATTTAAAATCCCAATGTTCTAAACTCAAATAGAATTTAGCAGTTTAATAGATCCTTTGTAGATACTCAATCAAAGTATTTTATAGTCTGTAAACTCAACTCAACCAGTAAATATGGATTTAATGATTTTATCAAAATATTTTCATTTGAAATAAATAAAATTTCCTCAGATATCGTTTCTTTATTTCATACATTTTTACTTTTATTTCTTTTATCTGATGTAAAATTATTTTTTTTCAATTTTAAAAAACTTTATTGCTCGAATTACTCAGGATAAAATTTCCATTTTTACAGATTGAAAAAGAAATTATGATATTTTTGTATCCTTTTGAATATTATTCTTTCTAAAGTTGACGATTTTTATTGCTTAGCGTTAATAATTTTATTTTAATAAAATCCGTATTTCCGATATGAAAGTAAAACAACTGCGGAATAACATCAATTTTTTTATGTACAGGTAGATGTCCCAAGTTGATATTTGTTTAGGTAGATGTCCCAAACTCATATGTGTTTAGGTAGATGTCCCAAACTGATATGTGTTTAGGTATATGTCCCAAACTCATATGTGTTTAGGTAGATGTCCAAAACTGATATGTGTTTAGGTAGATGTCCCAAGCTAATATTAGTTTTGGTAGATGTCCCATACTGATATTTGTTTAGGAAGATGTCCCAAACTGATATTTGTTTTGGAAGATGTTCCAAACTGATATTTGTTAAGTTAGATGTCCCAAACTGATATGTGTTTTGAAAGATGTTCCAAACTGATATGTGTTTAGGTAGATGTCCCAAACTGATATGTGTTTTGAAAGATGTTCCAAACTGATATTTGTTTTGGAAGATGTCCCAAACTGATATTTGTTTAGGTAGATGTCCCAAACTGATATGTGTTTAGGTAGATTTCCCAAACTGATATGTGTTTAGGTAGATGTCCCAAACTGATATTTGTTAAGGTAGATGTCTCAAACTGATATTTGTTCAGGTAGACTTTACTTGGCCTTTGATTTACCCTAACTAATTCTCACTATCTCACTAGAAGTTAAAAGTATTTGGCAAAATTCTCAATGATATTTGCGTGAGAGCAATCGCAAGCTTTTAATTTAAGATTGTTAAAACTAAAATATCAAAGGCTCTTCCTGCGTACGTGGGTNAAATGATTTTCCTTGGAGAAAATGTCTGTCTCAGTATAACGGTGTGGCAGCTACCACACAATGTAGCCTTAAAAGGTATTTATTGTTACATTACAAGATTAAAAGTATGATTGGAAAAAACAGAAGTTATATTTGGAAACAACAAGGAAAATTTAGTCTTGGATTTTACAGTGCGGAAACAGTAAAAATATTTAGTTGATTTTTTAAATTACAATTTAGCCCTAGAAAAAAAAATTCGGTCAAATTATGAACAAAAATTATTTCAAGACTATGAAATGAAATGTAATAATACTATTTTTAGGGCTTTCACAGCCAACACTTTTTTTTCACTTTATTTTCCAATTTTAATTTTAAATTTGCCTCCAAAGCTTTTGTTTTTGCTCAGCTCTTTCCTTGAACTTATCCTCAATCCTGGCTTAATTTTGATTTGTGTTGTTAATCGTTTTTTAAAATCTTTTAACATGACTTCCAAATGCTCAAACAGTTTTCTGTTAAAGTTTGCTTTTATCGAACTTAGCAATATATTTATCCTAAAACAAATGGGAAACTATATAGAAACGATGGTTATATAATACGCTTGTTTTGGATCGTCTTTGGTTCGTTTTTTGCATATATTTTCTGTTCGTAGTCAAAGTTTAGCATAGTGTAAGAAAAGTAAATGTTTAGAATATGTAATTCTGGTAATACTTTTATTTTTAAACTATTATACCAAATTTTGACCCTGTTAGAAAATTTAAGCAAAAACTCATTTTGAGAAGTTGAGGGATAAGAAGAGGTTTTACAAAACAGGTACATAAAAGTTGCATTCCCAAGGCTTTTTCCCAAGCGGCAACTTCCCAAGGGTATTCTCTCAAGCGGCAACTTTTCAAAAGTACAATTTCCCAAGCAGCAACTTCAATCCCAAGTCTGAACTAGCCGCAGTGCTCTACCCCTTAGTTCATCCTAGCCGAAGCGCTCGCACTCCCCCAGCTCATACTAGCCGCAGCGTTCGAGCTCCCCGTGCAGTCCAAGGCGCTTTAGAAGGCGTAACCTAACCCTGGGGAAGTTGCCGCTATACTATACTATCAAGAGATTAAAATTCAAAAATGTCTTTTCTTCTCTTATCTCTCTGATCTGTGATGTTCAATTGCACTTTTAAAGAAAATGATAATTTGGTGAATTCCTCAGATTCACAGTAATTTTGATACTAGTTTAGTCACTCCTTCGATGATATATAATATATTTTAGTAATCCTGGTTCTACGTGGCGAATACCAGACTGGGGAGCTCCTAATTTTCAGATCGTCAATATGGAATCAAAACAGTAATTCATTTTACATTCAGTGAAATGGAAAATTAATTTTTGTGCAGGATTAATTATTATTTTTTACATTTTTAACATTTAAAATAAATAAATTGGTTAAACCATTTTTTTGTAAAATTTGCTAGTCTTTAAAAAATGCTAAAATACTTTCTATATCTTTTAAACCTGCTGGGGAAAATATCTAATTGCTCTATCATTGACAACTTGATTAAGCAAAATTCATTCTTTAAAATCAAAGGTTTAAAGGTGAGGGTGCAAATATATTAGAATCAGTAATTTAAAGTTCGAGGCGAGTAATCATTGTTTACCTGCAGGTGCCTTGAACCAGGAAGGGGAGAAGCAACTACCAATATAGCTCAAGCAGTGATTAAAGATTGCAGTGAAGGTATAAACAATTAACATACATAAACACAATTTAGTAAATTGCTGTCATAACAATGAAATATCAAAAATGACCGGACAGTTATTCAACAAAGCAAGCTATGACTTTCCTTTCATACTTTTTGACGTCGCATGCGTGTGGAATGAAAAAGTAAAAACAGACAACTAATACCCATAACTAAATTGAATGGGGATACAATGTGAATAATTATGAAGATGGGGATACAATGTGAATAATTAGGAAGATGGGGATACAATGTGAATAATTAGGAAGATGGGGATACAATGTGAATAATTTGGAAGATGGGGATACAATGTGAATAATTAGGAAGATGGGGATACAATGTGAATAATTATGAAGAATGGGATACAATGTGAATAATTAGGAAGACGGGGATACAATGTGAATAATTATGAAGAATGGGATACAATGTGAATAATTAGGAAGATGGGGATACAATGTGAATAATTAGGAAGATGGGGATACAATGTGAATAATTAGGAAGATGGGGATACAATGTGAATAATTAGGAAGATGGGGATACAATGTGAATAATTAGGAAGATGGGGATACAATGTGAATAATTAGGAAGATGGGGATACAATGTGAACGGTCAGCTGAGCTGGAGTACTGGAGGAGGATGTTTGACTAGCCTGGGCTCACCGGCAGGGAATAGGGTCGAACTCCATCCTTGCAACAATACACTTCAACAACAGAGGTAGTATAAATAAACTACTTTTGTTGTTACTGTTGATATAGTTGGTGTTGTGGGTGTTGTTGGTCTTTTTTCTCAAAAGGGGTCGATTTTTCGAAAGTTTTGAAAATAATCAATTTTCAGACAGAAAAAAAGGTGATCACCATATTTTTTTCCAAAAAAAAGGTTTCAAGGGTGACGTTTTTATCGACATCACTTTCACTACGTCAGTCTCCTAAAGTTGCTAAAAAATTAATTTTGTTTTCAAGGTTTGAGTTTGGTACTCTGGACACTGATACGGGTAAAGCGGTGATTATTCCTCTGGATATATCACAATGGGAGGACAGGCAGAGAGTGTTAAGGTAAGTTTTTAGGAAGCATGATTCAAGATTCATGAGAGGGAATTATAGAATCTCTGGGCTCGAGAATAGGAGAGAAACAACTTTTCTTACAGTTGTCTCAGATATCAAAATCATTTATAGACATTTAATGTTTTTTTTTAATTATTTAAACTTATTTGATGCTTCCCTCAATCAACATCTGTTACAGTTCAACTTCGTTACAAATATGATCTGATCTGAAAACTCTTGTATTTTTGGTATAGAGATCAATGCTAAATTCCTTTTTTTGTTAATCTGCAGATTAATTTAATCGTTATTTTATATCTAGGAAAGTGTCTAAAATTTGACCAATCAGAGTTTCGTTTTCAGAAACCGAAAAGCAAGAAGAAGGCGGGAATTTTGCGAGCAATCAATGAGAGATCTCTCATTGGTTGTTTGGGTATAGAGTTCAAGTAAACGGGATTATTAATAGTATCCATCACAAGAGTTTCCAGCTAAAGGGTGTTAAAAAAAAACCACTTCACATTTTTTTCTCTTAAATTTTACCCAATCAGAAGGAAATTAATATCACAATGACTCTAGGGTCTTGGGACTATGTGAAAAATGAAATTAAATGGATTTTGTAAACCCTGCTCTAAATAAATGCTATTTCACTCTTGGGGATGCTACTGATTAGCCTACGCAGAAGAGCTTTTTCTCACCTTACTGTACTTCAGTTGACAGAGATTTTGTCATTTCTTCTTTGCAGCCTTCTTTTTATTATGCCCCAATCACTCTCAATTAAAGACTGGGCATAGTTAAACTTCATGGAAAATGTCAAGTTTAAACCAAAGTTTGTTTAAAACTATTGCTGACAGCATGAGAGGCTGGCATCGGTGGCTGACAAGTTTGTCCTGCAAGCAAGGTGGGCCTTCAAGGACCAGGTTAGGTAAAATATGGTCCTATAAGCTTACAGTAATGGTCCCCGGCAGCTGTTCTCCTTGTTGAAGGAGAACAGTGCATTAACCTGGAAATGGTGGGCTACAGTGTCCTCCAAATTGGTGTTTGGTTATATTAGCTCCACCCTGAACTTGTATTCTGTAAACTAACAAAGCTTTTAAGAGTTTTAGGCTTATATTGAACACCTTTAAATAGATTTTTGTCATTTTATGCCAGTTCTGGACCATTCTTAGCTTTGAAAATGTTTTTTTGAACGTAGGCAAAGTGAAAAAGAGCATTTATCCAGAGCAGGTTGACCAAATCCGATAATTTTTTAATCACGTAGTCCTAACATCCTAAAGACGCCTCTGAGAAAAAAGTTTTTTAACATCCTTTTTATTAAAATATTATTTATTTAGGGAGAGAGAATTAGTTGAAGCTAAAGCTGATGTTTTGAAAACACTAGTGGAGCATACAGACCAGAGCTCAGAGAAGCGCAGAGCTGTCGTCTTCTATCTAGACAAGGGAACTGGATTTTTAGGTAAAATAGTTTTCGAATATGATCTAAAAAAACTTAGCTACAGGGTATCTCAATAAACATGGGAATTAAATGATGACTTCTATATCTTTGATTATTTCGTAAATATGATTTTGTAGACTAAAAAACATTTAACACCGAAAACTACAGCTCTCGGGATTTCCAAAATGTGATCTACTTTTTCTTCACCTTCAATATTGACGGAGATATTAGGAAATTTGTTCCGATTTCAGTTAAGTAAGAATTAACAAAAATGTTCAAATGTTTAACATATCTCCGTCAATTTTAAATATGCAAAGAAGGCAGATTTTTCATTTACTTTATGACGTTTACAAATTATCGGGAATCAAAGACAATATTCAAGTCGTCTCTCAATTTCCATGTTTCTTGGGACACCCTGTAGTGTATAATAAGAAAAAAAGGATAGGAGGGAGGTAAGGGGGTACAAAATAAAAACAAGATATATATGACGTTTGGCGCATAAGAAATCTAGTGTTTTGTGTACAATGTGGCACTCTCCAGTGTACAGTGTTTGGTGTCAAGTGTTTCTTGTCAAGTGTTTAGTGCACATTGTTCAGTGTTCAGTGTTCAGTGTTCAGTGTCCAGTGTCCAGTGTCCAGTGTCCAGTGTCCAGTGCACATTGTACAGTGTTCAGTGTCAGTGTCCAGTGTTCAGTGTCCAGTGTCCAGTGTCCAGTGTCCAGTGTCCAGTGTTCAGTGTCCAGTGTTCCTCCGGCCCAAACCTAATACATTTTTTCCTAAGAATATAGTTGATAAACTGCCTAAAATCTAGTTTTGACTTATTTCCAAATCTTTAAGAAAATCAAAGCATAATAATCAAAACCGAAATATACTTTTTTACAGCATTTCTGAACTGGTGGATTCTAGCTTGGAAGCTATTAGGTAGTAAAACTAATTTGATTTATTTTTTCAAAATAATGTAATGTTTTTATTTTGGGTTTGAACTCTATAACTGTAAAGTTTGATATTGTATTGTAGGTTTGAACTCTCTAACTGTAAAGTTTGATATTGTATTGTAGGTTTGAACTCTCTAACTGTAAAGTTTGATATTGTATTGTAGGTTTGAACTCTCTAACTGAAAAGTTTAATATTTAATTTAGGTTTGAACTATATAACTAATTGTAAAGTTTAACATTGTATTTAGGTTTGAACTCTATAACTGTTAAGTTTAATATTGTTCAGGTTTGAACTCTATAACTGTAAACTTTAATATGGTATTTAGGTTTGAACTCTCTAACTGAAAAGTTCGATATTGTATTGTAGGTTTGAACTCTCTGACTGTAAAGTTTAAAATTGTATCTAGGTTTGAACTCTCTAACTGTAAAGTTTAATATTGTATTTAGGTTTGAACTCTCTAACTGTAAAGTTGATATTGTATTTAGGTTTGAACTCTATAACTGTAAAGTTTGATATTGTATTTAGGTTTGAACTCTCTAACTGTAAAGTGTGGTATTGTATTGTAGGTTTGAACTCTATAACTGTAAAGTTTAATATTGTATTTAGGTTTTAACTCTATAACTGTAAAGTGTGGTATTGTATTGTAGGTTTGAACTCTCTAACTGTAAAGTTTAATATTGTATTTAGGGTTTAACTCTATAACTGTAAAGTGTGATATTGTAAGGTTGATATTGTATTTGGGTTTGAACTCTCTAACTGAAAAGTTAAATATTGTATTTAGGTTTGAACTCTCTAACTGTAAAATTAAATATTGTATTTAGGTTTGAACTCTCTAACTGTAAAATTAAATATTGTCATCCTGACTCTGTTCAATATTTACCAAAAGACTGTATTGAATACAGGTGAGAATAAAAATAAAAAAATTTCGAAATTTCGAAATTTCGAAATTTTTCTAAATTTGTTGTGTTCAGAGCTAATGAGACAAGATTGACAGGAGCTGGTAAATGTTTATTTGTATCCATGTACGGGATAGCATACAGGGATACCATGCAATAGTAATAATTCGGCAAATCAAAAGAAAGCTAATAATAATAAGCAAAACAATAAATCAAAAGCTTGAAATGCATGAAAACTAAATGTTCTAAATTTTCGTTTTTAAATATCTGTGAATGAACCTTTCGTTCGTTAATTTGACTGAACTACACAATCGTCAACGAATTTTTTGATCGTTCACAAAAATGATGGTCAATTCATAATTGAAGTGACTTAAATGCATGCAAATAATTAAATATTTTGAGAATTTGTGCAAATTAAAAGTAGAAAGAAATGAGCAAAGAACTTAAAACCCATAAAAATGATTGAAAAGCTTAAAAATTCATGAAAACTATCAAATAGCTTGAAATGCATGAACTGTAAGAACTTTTCTTTATGAATACTTTAAAAATCTTAAAAGTTATGCATGATTTTAGCTTGCAATTTCTGATAGCTTGCAACGCATGATCATTAATGAATGCTTCTAATGCATGATTATGAATAAAGGGACTCGAGATATGATAACTATATAAATAGTCATGAATGCCTGATAAACCCTAAAGCAGAATTCCTTACTCAGTATTCTCATATTCTGAGGTAAACAATTCAGTGTATAAAATGTCGTGTAGCTAGGATTGGGCAGGTTTTACTTTTCTGGAAATCAAACTGATCGTTTCCTTCACGACGTAAAAAAATTCAAAAACGAAACGATCGGCTTTTCAAACGATCGTTTTTAAAATGAAAACACAGAGTAATAAGTATTAAAAAGTCCAGATGATTGCTGTGATTAAAGTTCACTCATTAGACATTCAGTGGACCACTAAAAAATCAAACTTGAGTCTAACAGTCGTCTTCCACAGTTGTATGGGTCGTATTGTACAGTGCATGCTTACACGGATAACCAGTTTTATCTTGTGTGTATTTGACATTGTTATAAAGAATTTCTTTTTTACCAGTAGCTTTCAAGGCAACTTATTTGGTTAAATGGGTGTACAAGTACAGTGTACACAATGGTGACATAATTCATTGGAGTATTTGAAATCATAACTATTTAATTCTAACAGTCGTCTTCCTATGTCACAATTGTATGCGTCCCATTGTACAATACAATGATAAGCAGTATAAAACCAAATGAGTGTCGCCGACTCAATCTGCTTACTTGCAGGCAACAAAGCGAACTTGCATTTATAATCTGAGCTAGCTTAACCTAGGTTAATCTGTTTTTTTTTCAGGAGTGATTTGGACACTTTTCCAACTCCGGGCCTACTGGGTTATTGGCCAGATACTATTATTGCAAACAAGTATATGGGATACACTTTCAGGAACTCAAGTTAGTAAACAAGTATATGGGATACACTTTCAGGAACTCAAGTTAGTAAACAAGTATATGGGATACACTTTCAGGAACTCAAGTTAGTAAACAAGTATATGGGATATACTTACAGGAACTCAAGTTAGTAAACAATTAAGTATATATGGGATACTCTTTCAGTAAATAAGTATTTAGTATACACTTTCAGGAACTCAAGTTATATAAAAAAGTATAAAGTATACACTTTAAGGAACTCAAGTTAGTAAAAAAGTGTGTAGCATACACAATACACATACAGGAACTAAATTACTTTTTGATCAATTTTGAAAACATAACAAAATGAAAAAAATAAAGAAGAACATATTCGTAAATGTATTTCTATATAATGACACTAGGCTTTTAGGGCGCTTTGCGCCCATCCTATATTTTAACTTTTAGTTGTGGCTCTATCTGTGAGCATTTTCTCTTTGTTCAGTAAAAAACAATATGAAAAAAGTTCGCGGATTTTTAATTTTAAATAAAAATTTTTTATTTTCACAAAAATCAAAAGCTTTTGGATACAACTTTGGGCCTGATCGGTTCAGCTGTTTTGACGTTTATTGGAAACAAACAGACAGACAAGCAAAGTATATATACAGAAGTCAGAAACCTAATTGATAGAAGAAAGATGCTGAAATGATAACTATTAACTGATGAATCATTCTAATAATTATGATTATTATGAAAATCATTTTTACTATCAATATCCTAATTTAGGTGGTATATCCTTGATAACTGAACAATTAAAAGAGGCAGCAGAATACCTGGGCCTTACTCATAAAGTAAGAGTTAAGAAATAAAAGAGTTAAATTGTTGTTGTTTTATAAATTTCTTCGCAGATTTATTCAAATTTCTTCAAATTTCTTCGCAGATTTCTTCGCAGATTTCTTCCAATTTCTTGAAATTTCTTCAAATTTCCTCAAATGTCTTCTTTGCAATGAAAGTCAAGGAAATCTGCGGGAAAGGTTTCGAAAGAATCGGACATTGCAGAAACAGACACTGAATAAAATTACCTATTTTCTATCGTAAGAGTTATTTATATCTTTTTAACCTATTACTAAACACCAAATTAGTTTATAAAAGATATAATACCTGTTTTTGTCCATGATATTAAATAATTTTTAAAAATCGAATCTTGAGATCAAGCCTTCAGAATGAACACCCCTTGTGTTTTTTAGAAAGCGAATTTTCGATGTAGCAGTTGTAGAACGTAAAAACATTTTATAAGTATCAAATAAATCATAAAAATGCTGTCTATAATACTGCACTCTCAGTTCAACTAACATACAAAACCAGTCACTCCCTTTAAGGTTACGTAGTGCTCACTATATGCAAATTTTTTCTGTAACATTGTTTAACACACAAATTTGTTTATAACTTGTATCCAATAATGTCCAAGAGCGGATCGCTCTTGGACATTATTGGATCTGCTTCTAGTGAGATGTGTTATTGCCTTTCTGCATGTTTTTAGATTTTTCTTTAAAGGGACTGTAAAGGAAAAAGGAAAGGGGGTATAGGATGAAACCTAAGAATCTCAGGCGATGAACGATACATAGCTGTCTGATGTTCCTGTTTCGAGAAATTATTATTAAACTGTGTCATGTCTTATATGTATCGTTCAACGCCTGAGATTCTCAGGTTTATCCTATACCCCCTTTCATTTTTCCTTCACAGTCCCTTTAAGGACTTACATTGTTCAGCTTATTATATCATAAATACAACATTTTTCAAATTTAAGCAAAATAAAATATTTCATTTTTAGCCTAGGCTAACTTTTAATCTACTATTTTTTTATTAGGATAAATAGATCTGATAAAATACTTTAATAAGATAGTTAAAAGTTTCTAGCTTTTCTAAACTGAAAACTTAAATTTTCTTTACTTAAAACTAGTTTAAACACAATAAATATCGTTTTTCGATGATAGTGAATGAAAATATAAGAATAATTTAATTTAATTTGGAAAATATTAAAGTTACACTTCGAGTGACTTTCGACACGGTTATAAGTGACCCTGCATTTAGTGAGGGTATATATAACGCTACCCTTTAAACCTCAGTCTGAGCTTAAATAACAAAAATATTCTTGGTTTTCAATCTGAACATTTCAAATTTTTAATTTACACATAAAAAAACAAGCTAAATATATAAATATGTATTCTTGTTGGTTAGGACATACATGATATTCTTGTTATTCTTGTTAATGATATTCTTGTTGATTCTATTCATGTTAATGATATTCTTGTTAATGATATTCTTTCTATTCTTGTTAATGATATTCTTGTTATTCTTGTTAGTGATATTTTGTTATTCTTGTTAATGATATTCTTCTCATTCTTGTCAATAATATTCTTGTTAATGATATTCTTGTTGATTCTATTCATGTTAATGATATTATTGTTAAGTATTGTATTGTTAATGGTATAATTGTTAATGATATTATTGTTACTGATATTCTTGTTACTGATATTCTTCTTAATGATATTCTTCTTAATGCCATTCATGTTAATGATATTATTGTTAAGCATAGTAATGTTAATGATATTATTGTTAATGATATTCTTGTTAATGATATTCTCGTTAACGATAATCTTGTTAATGATATTCTTGTTAATGATGTTATTCTTGATGATGTTATTCTTAATGACATTTTTGTTAATGATATTATTGTTAAGTATAGTATTGTTATTGTTATTTTTGTTAATGTTATTCTCGTTAATGATAATCTTGTTAAAGATGTTATTTTGAATTTTGTTCTTGTTAATGATATTCTTATTAATGATATTCCTGATGTCCAGGGTATGCATGATATTGGATCTAGTTGGTTTGGACCTGCTCATTTAGTAATTAAACTCTCCTCTATGACTGTAGCATTATCAAAATATCTCAGGTATTTTAAATTGTTTTACAATGTCACCGAGAAACAACGATATTACATCGTTGTTCGCTTTATCAAACTAAATTTTATATAATTTTCACACTGTAAATTAATCAATTAAAGTATAACGGGTTTTTAATTGTTTTTTTTAAATAACGTTTTAAGCGTGTTACGTAGATCTTATTTAAATTTATGATTATTTTATTAATGCTATTAGGCTTTCAGCCTCTTTCCTGTAATTATATAAGCTTTTCTTCAATGTTGCTTTGATTTGATTTCGCGTTGGTTTTCGATAAATCTTTATAATTTTGTTACACAATCTATGTAAACAGTTTGTTAAATTATAATATCATTGTAGAGTGTACATGTTTGGTCCTGGTACACACTGTAGGTGTGCAACATGTACAGAACTACCTCTACAGTGTACATGGGGTGGAGGACCCTATGCGGGTACAGTACTACTTTATGCCCAGGTAATACCAGTACAATTTAGAGGAGCACTGTACTTTGCCGCATTTCTTTCATCTATATATAAAGTAGTAATCTGATGTTAGATCATAACTAATAAACTCCTGGACCGATTTGCCTCAAATTTTGCATAGCCGGGTTTCCAAGATAGTTTAGAATTAAATTAAAAATTAAAATTTTATTTTCGGATTTCATTTACTAAGAAATATGGATTAAAAGGAAAAACGTCTATAGGTTGAATATTGTCAAAGGTAAATTTACATGTCAGATTAATTTCAACCAACTTAGTTTTTAGTAAGGTTATACTGCAAGGAAAGTTAATTGCAGTTGCGTATATACTCTGCGTACATAATTTGTAAACAAGAATAGATGCAGCAGTGTTCATTTAGATCCGAGGAGGATAAAAGCATTTAATTTTGATAATAGTTTCCTATGACAAGAATGTTTCACTGATTTTTTTTGAAAGATGGATCCATGTCAGGCTGTGAGTGTGACATCCGTCTTGTGTTAACATTACCGATCAGAGAAGTACACTGCAGTACAAAAGATGAAATAACTTTCCTTGCAGCATTATAACCTTGGTTTTTAGCAAGTATATACAATCTTATAAACTTTGTAGAAGGTCAACCAAAATATTTAAATATCTTTCGATGGGTTAGAATTTAAAATGTTAAGGAAAATGACTCGCTTTTTTCCCTTCATAGAACTTGATTTCTTCCCTTCATAGAACTTGTTTTTTTCCCTTCATAGAACTTGATTTCTTCACTTCATAGAACTCGCTTTTTTCCCTTCATAGAACTTGATTTCTTCACTTCATAGAACTTGATTTTTTCACTTCATAGAACTTGATTTCTTCACTTCATAGAACTTGTTTTTTTCCCTTCATAGAACTTGATTTCTTCACTTCATAGAACTCGCTTTTTTCCCTTCATAGAACTTGATTTTTTCCCTTCATAGAACTTGATTTCTTCGCCCCTTTCCAAAAAAAAATGTAGACAATGTCCAAAAGCATTGTAAAGCACTAAAAGTTTTTGAAAAAAAGTTAATAATTTTTGTGCTTGCATCTTTATTTTAAACTTGGTTTCTTTATGCGAACCTCCCCATGTTCCATGTTTTTCATCAATCAATAAAATTGGTGAACTAAATTTTAACTGATCACCCGTTGAACTTGACTACCATTGTTAATTGAGTTTTTATGACAAGCTCAAATTTTCTAATTCATTTATCTCTACAACCAAATGTCGTATGACTTTAGATATTTCAAACTATGAATTCTGTTATTTAAATAATCCAAATTTTGAAATATCTTAGGTTTGCACCATCAGGTTGCAAAAATCTAGTATTTAAAAAATTAGAGCTTGTGGTAGGGACTCAATTCCTTTCTTTCTGATAAACCTTGGTTTTGTGAAAAGATGGATATTGCAGTTCATTGTGAATTGTAATTATACAATATTGTACAGTCTTTGATTGGTGTAAAAAATACTGTGAAAAACGTATTTACCAATGAAATCAACGCATACAAAAAACTTCATGAGTTGTAATTAATTTGAAAGCTCGAGAGCTCTTTCATACTGAAATATAAATACATTCAGCTAAGTATGCATTGTGTTGAATATCAAACATTGGTATATTTCTAATATTTCTAATATTTCTAATATTTCTAATATTTCAAATATTTCAAATATTTCTACTAAAGAATATGATATTTATACAGGATATCTTGATCTAGGGACTACTAGTAGTGAATCTGTTTGTTCGGTAACAAATTTTTTTTTATCAATCGTTTGATTTTTTTCTCACGGGAGGACTTATTTCAAACTTTAATTATTTAATATATCAAATTATCATTTAATCTCATTGAAGAGAGGTTTTGCCACACACTAAAATTATCTAATTCCTAGCTACATCCTTGCATTGTAAACTTAGATTATTTATCTAATAAAGTTCACAGGTTTAAATATCAAATGCCTCTACAACATGGGTTGCAAAGATATAAGAACTAGAAAATTAGAATTTGTGGCAAAAACTCGGTTTCTTAAAATTTAAGTTTGATCTAAATTGACCACTATTAAACTTTTTTGCTGTTTTAGAATCTGCATCTTCATGTTTTCCATAATCCCGAGATATTCAGTAAATTCGAGTAAGTTTTTTAAACATTATTAATTCATAGCAGGGCCGTAACAGGGAGTTCTAAATTTTGGAATAAAACTGGTAATTAAAGCTTGATTTTGATAACTTTTTACATTGTAAATTATTATGCTTTTTTCTTAGCTTATATTTAAATTTTTCTAGTATGCTTGAATTTAATCCAAGAGCTTCTCGATTCCTCTTTTTTCTTGACTTTTTTTTAACCTGAAGCTCTTTTTCTATTTGTACATTTTACAATGATACCTTTTAAAATATGATATTGAAAAATAGATTTTGAGAAATATTTGTAAATAAATTTGTAACTTTTTGCTTCATTTTAAATTTTCAGCTAAATGGCTTCCGTCAGAAGCATAAAGGAAAAATTTAGAAACCAGAATACATTAGAATTCGCTTTATATTCTTTTTTCATTTACTTCTAAACTTTGCTTAAGTTTTTTTTTACTTGTTCTAAATTATTTCTAAAAATCTACAGCTTTATCAGTTCCAACAATCACAAATTAAAGAATTCTTTGTGACAAATCTTATTAAAAGAAAGTAGACTATATTATTCCAAAATTTAACTATTCAATCTTTTCTTTAGTTTTATGGCTGGAAAGTACAAGGAGCTGGATATGTCTGGTTTAAAGCTGTCAAAAACACGAGATTATGCTGTTTATCTAGCCTTGAAATCATCAGGACAAGGGAAAGGGGAAAAGGTATTGGCCCCCCCCCCGTGCACCCCCTCCTTCCTCCGATGCTATTTTTAATTTTACATGTAGGAAAGAAAATGTGGGTGATTTCTTCTAATACCGTCTTTCCGAAAACGAAAAACATATTACATCTATTTTAACCTATATAGCCCAACTTAGATATAGTTTAATCATGGGAGGTTGTTCTGTTTTAATGGGGGGATGGGGAATTATATAAAAATTTTGCATCAAGCTTTTAAGAATCATTTAAATTATAGGTCTCATGTTTTTTTAAACCAAATTTTACTAAATAAATAGATTTTTTTCGTACATTTTTTTATTTCATCTACAAACAATCTACATATTAAAGTATAAAATTAGTTTACGCAAACTTAATGAATCTTTTTAAGAGGTTACAATTTAAAATAAGATTTCTAATTATTTAAGGAAGTGACAGATCGGTATTCTATTGGAGAAGAAGGATCCTTGGCTAATGTTTGTAAAATAGACGGAGATAACTCATCAGTCTAATGTGCTTTTAATGTCGTCTTTAAAGGGATTGTAAGTGTCATTTCAAGTGACCTTCCTTGCAAATATAACATTTCCTACAGTAGAATTGCGCAGTAAAAGTTTGAAAACCCACAATCAAAAATAATCCTTTTTGAAAATTATGAACAATGATATCAAATCATATTTAATCAGACAAAGCTTTAAGAGGGATGTGCACTTGAAATTACGCTAGTTTTAATATCTATAAATATACGTATCCTGAATTTATGGAGTAAAAATTGTTTGAAATAGGCTTAATTTTTAAAATGGAAGATACATCAAAAAATTAATATGTTATTACTACAGTTATCTGTGATTTAAAAGTTTAAAACTATATTTTCCAGGACATTTAAAATTTTTTTGTTTGTTTTCAGGAGATAGCGATTAACCAGGTTTGGGATCAGCAGCAGTATGATTCATTAAAAAAAGGTAATTATTCTTTAAATTGTATTTATTAATTTTAAAAAATCTTTCATAAATATTTTTTTCTTTCGGCAACAATGAATTGTTTTTGCTGTTATGCCAGTATAAGTAGTTTCATGTTTTTACATATTTTTAACTAGCTAGCAGTATATCCAGCTTGGCATGGAAACTAAACTTTTTTTATAAAAGTCAAGTTATTTAAATTAGAATTTGAAAACTATCCTAAGAACATTCTCCTAGGCCTAAAAAGTTCCCCAATTCATATATATATAGATATTTACTCTTTTGTCTGTTAGTTTGTCTAATTATAACTCATGAACCTCTTGACGGATTTTGATTGAGGATCTCGGTAGAATCACGGGAATGTTCTTGAAAATTCTTAGTTTAGTGTCGGTTGACATATATATTAACAAGAACATTTAGATTCAAAACAAAGCTGATTTCTCAAGTAATAATTCTCAATAAACTCTCTCTTTTTTAATTTTTAAATGTTTATTAGTCTGAAGGGAAAAGTATAAAAATAATATATATATTTCTAATATTTCTAATATTTGTTAAATTTCAAATATTTCATATATTTCTAATGTTTCTAATATTTCTAATGTTTCTAANCGGAGATAACTCATCAGTCTAATGTGCTTTTAATGTCGTCTTTAAAGGGATTGTAAGTGTCATTTCAAGTGACCTTCCTTGCAAATATAACATTTCCTACAGTAGAATTGCGCAGTAAAAGTTTGAAAAACCACAATCAAAAATAATCCTTTTTGAAAATTATGAACAATGATATCAAATCATATTTAATCAGACAAAGCTTTAAGAGGGATGTGCACTTGAAATTACCCCGACACACCCTGAAATTGTTCAATTGAATTAGTGCAGACTGCAGCGCCATTTTTTCGAGTCACTAATTACCAGTTCATGAGTAATCACCACAAAAATTTCTCTTCTCTGATAAAGTGCTGTTCTAGTCTTGCACCCTGCACAATCTGAACTAAAGGTTGTATTGTACTGTACTTCTTTTATTGTTAACATTGGCCCAGTGGCTATGTTTTACGTGTTGATTTTTTAACCAGTTTTTATTACACAGAAATTGGCCCCTCACGTACACAAAACTTCTTTGATGCGCCGTAAGTTCCGTAAGAGACCTTTCAGGCTAGGCTTTTAGGACATTTATAACTATTTTCTTTTGCTCAGAATTCACATCTCTTTAGAGTTTCTTCTCTATATTGTTTTCTTCGTTCAATTATGCATGATGCATCTACACTATACTTGATAAAGAAAAAATGCAGAGACAAATTCGAAAAAAACACATTTTTGGTTTATCGTTCAATAGTATTCAATTACAGCAGTCTGTTTTAGAATTTTAACTGACTGCGAATTTATTTATTATTATGCATTTTATTCTTATTTATTTATTTTTATTTTCTGGTATTTTCTGGTATTTTCTGGTATTTTCTGGTATTTACGTGTTTTTACAAAAAAAAGATATTCTAGTAACAATTTTGTCGACATTTTTTCCCAGGAAACTTTTTAAATCAAAAGACCGTCCATAAATTCTTTCCGTGGGGTCATGTTAGTTGCCAATTTAAAAATGTGGGCCCAATCGGTTAAGTATTACAACAACAAAAATTAGAGCTTAGGATATAACATTTATTTGACCAAAACTGTTTTAAGAGCTAGTAAAAAGTTCCCAAAAAAGTCCAAAACTTGCAAGTTCTTTTATTTTCTTTCTTTAATTATGTATTTTTTCAAAGATGTTAAAAACTAAAATTAAATAAGTTTTGATCTACGAAACTTTATGTTTATACATGTGGTACATTGTGATATTGTTAAATTTTAAAAATTCAATTGATTAAAAATAAAATATTAAAAACAAAATTTGTTAAATGAGGTTTATATGAACATACATGTAGTAGGACTGATAAGAGTAAAGAAAACTATTTATTACAGACACTGATAATAGACATCGTTTGGTAACTTCCGTTTTCAAACTGTTAAGCATGATAATTTTGCTTTTATTTTAGTACTTTCTGAAGTTCCTGGCCTTGCCCAGTATACTTATAGTTACTCCCGCCGTTTAACCGTGCTTGGTCTTAAATTACGATTTTTGCAATTTTTTTCCCATAAAGGTAAAAATCTGCTAAATTTGCCCTTCAAGATAAAAAGCAAAAACGTGATATTATGTAGTAAATGTCTTACTCTTAAAACTTTGAACAGAACTGTATCAGTCCAAATATAACTCGCGTCTGCTATGAATATCATACAGGACACGATCCACACTGCTACAATCCTGTGAACTATCAACGCCAAACCACTGGGCGCGATCTCATTAGCTATTGATATGAATCGGGAGCTCGTAGCTATGTCAACCAGACAATAGCAATTAATTGATCAATGTCTCAACCAGGACGAGGGAGGGAACCCCCAGACGCCTAGAGCCTCCACTATGCAGACACGAGCCTCCCAGATTTGCTAGGCAGATCGAGCCTCAACTATGCAGACCAAGCCTCCGTTATACAGACCGTGCCTCTGCTATGGTTTTTATGAGTAATAAAAAATTCAAATAATTTTTTTTGGCGTAGTGGCATAAGAATTTTACTAAAGATTGGAAATATTTTTTGATTGTCATGATTAGAAACATATATGAACTCATAAAGTGGTTTATAAGATTTATACTAAAACTTTAAACATTTCTTACGCAGAAAGGTAGATATTTGGAGAAAAATTTCTTGAGTAAACTTAGTTTGTTTTGTTATAATCTTTGATTTAAACAATATGGTTTTTTGAAAAATGTTAAGATTTAAATAAATGATACAAATTTTCTAGATTTAATTTGAACCACAATAAAGGTATTGCTTAAATCAAAGATTATAAAAGATGAAATTAAATTCAATTCAAATTTTTTTCTCTAAATATTTTCCTTTTCTTGTAAAACATGTTTCACGTTTTAAATACCACTTTATTAGTCATAATTAGGCGCGCTCTATTTATGCTAATTGATAAAAACATTTTTGAGAAATCTCTAATGCCACTATGTCGACAGAATTTTGAAAAACAATTTATTATACATACGAAACAAGAGTTTTAAAAAGTACCTCTGTGTAGCGAAGGCCTTGTTTACTGCAAAGCGGAGGCTTGGTCTGCATGGCAAAGGCTCGTTCTGCATGGCGAAGGCTCGTTACTGCATATCGGAGGCTCGGTCTGCCTAGAAAGTCTGGGAGGCGCTTGTCTGCAGGTTTGGAGGCTCATGGCGTCGGGGGGTTCTCTCCCTCCCAGAACACAATCCACACGGCTACAATCCCGTGAACTATCCATCCCACTACCGCTGGGCGCGATCTTGTTAGCTATTGATATGAATCAAGAGTTCATAGCTTTGTCAACCGGACAATAGCAATTAATGGATCAATGTCGTAAACAGGACAAGATGCACAGGGCTACAATTCCATGAACTATCAATGTCAATACTCAAGGCACGATCTTCAACTCATTGGTTTAGAACAAGAGAACAATTACTTACTTGTAGTTATCAGTACTAAGTTTCCTAGTATATTTCTTCAATTTAGATTAGAATTAGGGTCTTTAACAGTGTAATTACAAGTTATGCGCTGTTATATATAAAAAGTTAAGCAGTCCCAATATGGGCGTGACAGAGTTGTATATATATATATATATATATATATCTATGTACATTGAATGGGTTTAATGTTCGTATTTATAATATTAGCGAGGATAGATATAACGTAGTTAAGCTATCTCCACAGATTTATGTTTACAGCGTAAATTAAGTTAAATGTACGTATATAGAAGATTAACATGGATAGATATAAACGTAGTTAATCTAGTCACAATGCAGGTTTTAATCATGTTACTTAGCTCATGTTTATCTAGGTATGCTCAGGTTAACAAATATGGGGATTGCTAGGATATTTGCTACAATTTTTTTAAAACTAATTCTAATATTTTATCAATATTGCCCTGTGCACCGTGCTTGGTCGTAAATCAAGATTTTAGCTATTTTTCCCTATACAAGTGGAGCCACTCCATTTAGAATCTCATGATTACTAGCTTAGAATTTTCCCGTGATTCCCCCAAGTTCCTTGATAAAAATTTAAGGCAAATCGGTCGTGGGGTTTCTGAGTTATGACCGGACACACAAAGAAATAAAAAACAGTGAAATGAACTCGGGAATGTATGACAGGCTTTCAGAGAATTGATTTAGAGAAAATCAAATAATTTTCAAGAAAACTTTTGGATAAAATGATGTTCCCCAAAAGGTTTTATAGCACAAATATGTGAAGTACACTTGCAGTATGGAAACAAAATGGTCGATTTACATTTTTTCGAGTAAATTCCACTCTACCTATAGCAGGCGCGCAACTAGACATTTGGTTAGAGCGGAAAATTTTTCATATATTTCTAATGTTTCTAATATTTCTAATATTTCTAATATTTCTAATATTTCAAATATTTCAAATATTTAGGGGCAAGACTTCTTAAGGGAGGGGCATGCCCCTCCCTTAATCAGGCTAGGGGGGGCCTGGCCCCCCTCTAGTTGCGCGCCTGATCTATAGTCCACTCTCTTTGTTTTTATCATTGCTCAAATTGCTCAAAAGGATAAAATGCAGGAAAATATATCAGATAAAATGTTTTGTGATTTAATCAAGTCCATCCAACCGTCGATTTTTACAGGTAAAATTTCTTCATTTTGGATTCCAATAAACTTTATAATGGTTGCAATGTTGCACGAGGATTAAAATTGAAATAATTTTAGAAAATTGGCAAGGATTTTTCTTTCGCGATAAATTCTGATATTATGTAATGAAAAGGAGAGTTACCTTAATTTTTCCAATTTTATTCCTACCAGGGGCGTTCGAGGGGGGGGGGCGGGCTTAGGGGGTGCACACATGGGAGGGGAAGGCTCTTTTAATATTCTGCTTGCATTTTCCTTCCCCAGGCAATCTACATTATACATTGCATTTCATTGCACTTACCCATACTGAAAGATAAAGAAAAGAAATAAAATATATTCTGATTCATAACAATACCCTTCAAAGTTTTTACTGATCAAGTATTGCATTTAATATCCATGTTTCCCATTTTGAAAACTGATTTTTTTTATTTGAGGTTTCTCTACAAAAGTGATTCGTGCATTTTTTGCTTCAGAAACGATGGAGAATTGAAGGTTTCATAGGTACATCGGACATGCCACTTTATAAATTGAGGGTCACTTGAAATTATGCATGCATGTATTCCTTTTAAGAATAATTACATCGTATGAAAGAAATACTTTAAAATCTCAATTTTGACCTTAACTAAAAAAGTTTCATTAGAGCGTTAATCAATGCTGCCTTCAGTGTAAATGTATACTCAGGGGCGTACGAGGGATTTTGTTTAGGTGGGGCACAATTTCCGAGCGTAAGCGCACAAAAAAAATTTTGGGGTCCCCCCCTTGGCAACAGTATGCCCCCCCTTAAAAACCCCTTTTTTGAAAAAATATTGATACCTTTTTTATTTTTTTTGCCCCCCTCCCATCTGGACTTGTTTTGTTCACCATAAAAATACCATAAATCAATAATCACAGCATCATTAAAAATTATATTTTTACTAATAAACGAAATTTCTTNCAATGTTGCCTATTGGGGGGGGGGAGGCACAATTTTTTTTGGCGCGCTGACGTGCGCTTCAAAATGTGCCTCCCATGACACAAATGCTCTCTCGTACGCCCCTGATTCCTACCCCCGTTCATTGCAGTTCGATTATGCGATATAGAAAGAGCGGTGCAAGGGAAGGACCTTTTTAAAGTCCCCTTCCGTGTCTGAAGAGGCTGAGACTTTTTTTCTAGAACATTTTTCATTTCCTGTTGATTGTCTCTGAAAAGACGACGTTGTGATTTCTAAAATGAGTTTTCAGTATTATTCTTCATGGGCAAGTTCAAAAGTTAAAGTACAAAGTAAAAATTACACTGTCAGATTAATCAAACTATGATGAATAAAAATGATCATGGATTCATAAGCCCTAATGAGCAAAGTAACAAAGTTCAATCTGCACGTAGCCAAGTTTATTATGATTTTAGGTAAGGAAATCATGGATTTCGTTAAATCCGACTAATAAGTTAATTTACTAAAGAATCGGTCTCTAGTTCTAGGACCGGTTCTGTGTACACTGTCAGTCCTCTCTCTCAGTGTAAAAATGGCGGCTGATGAGATGAATGAAAGTGAAGTTAAACCAAAATTGACGGATTTATTTACCTCAGACACTTTTCATGAAGCTTTAAATCGTCCCCTGGCTAAGGAAGATATTTGGTAATTCTTTTTATTAAAATATTTTGTTGTTGACGCAGTCTTTTGTGATATTTTAAACGTTTATCTATTACATGGTAAGAATATTTCGCGCGTTTATCAGGCGCGCACGTTCACCTTTTGGTATATTTTTTTTATAAACGAGCGCATTTTTCTTGGTTTTTTTCTGTTTTGTAGACTTTTATAGAAGTTTGTAAATATGTTAGTATTGCATTAAACTTAAAAATTCAGTATTTTGTGCAAAATCATTCGATTCAATTGTTATGATTAGCTTCTTCCAATATTTCTGACAATCGTTGTTTATAACATCGTTGTTGTAATTATCTATGAAGTTTAAATTAGAACATAACAACGATTATTAATATATATTATAACTTGAGAAACTTCCCGAATCTATTTGTGGACTTTTTATCGGGGATTTTTTAAGTCAATAAAAGTTCACCGAGTCTTAATTGAAATTCTCGCATAGTTTTACAGTTTCTAATGTTGAATCTCTATTCATATATTTAGTGTTTTATACACCTAAGGCAGCTGCGAAATTACTATGGGTAATTTCCTAGAGAACGATATTTGGACCTCCCCCCTCCCTCCT